GGGGGGCGATTTCCAGACATAGCATTTTTCACTAACTTTAGAAATAATTTACTCTAATTTGTAACATTTTTAATTTTTCAGTAATATTTTCGTAAATTTATCAAAATGTTTCTTACAACTATTACTTTCCAATTCAAGATCGACACTTAAATATTTTCAAAATTTGCCCGACGAAATTGTATGTGGGGGGGGGGATGGGGGGTTAAATTCACTTGCTTAGCATGCATAAACAATCTTGTAATAATAAAATAATAACGGCTTATTGACCTCGCTTGTTCGGTCTGTACTGTGAAATATCAGACCAAGGTTTTTTAGTATGACAGAGGTCTGATATTTCACAGTACAGACCGAACAATCGAGGTCAATAATCGGTTTATTATATGGCTGAACTGAGTCTGTGAGCATATGCTTTTCGCGCGAACTAAATCGGCTATCGTCAGTTTCACTGGCTAACAATATGCTCAATCAAAAACAATTTGGTTTTTTGAAATTTTTATTTGTAATTTTTAATGGCACACAATTGGAAAATTAAAAAGCAAAAAATTTTTCTGTTTGCAAAGCAAAAATTTCTCGCCAGATAAACGACATCCGGGACACTGGTCCAGTTACGGAAAATACGGACCACGGTCCGAATATAGGTTTTTTCGGACCGCTTGTCAGAACAGAGAATTTTGAAAAGCCATATAATAATAAACATAATTGTGATTTTTGCATTTAGAGTTTGTGGGTATTGACCTTCAGAAGACACTCTTAATTGGATTAGCTTAAAAACAATTATTTTTAAGAATCAAACAGTGTTTCCTTGGCTACATATGTATGAGTGTGTCAACCTCGATTTAATCTCTTTATATTTTAACAGAACATTGTATGAGCGGCGACAAAGTGGAATTTTCGTTGGAGCTAACAAATGAGCAGTTCAAACAAAAAATAGTTGAAATCTATCCCAAGTTAGAAAATGCTTGTTTTGTGTTCATGAAAGCTGGCAAAGACAACATATTGGAATATTTGAACCCTGGTATATGCTGCTTCCGATGTTACACGCCAGAAAATGTTTACCGCAGTGAACGAGGACAAGGGAAGCTTTATATACGAAAGATTGCTGAGAATCAGGTATTGTTTACTTAATGCTTGCTGTTACCAGTTCTCAATTTTGTTGGTTGAACCATCACTGACCAATCTGCGAGTTTGCTTGCTTTTCACTGGGTTGCCCCCCTCCCATGCCCCCACTCTTTTCCGCCATAAGTTTCTTCCTGATCCACCAACGCATTGTAAGTCTTCCTGAAGACGTGTCTTTTTGAACCAGGTACTGGTCCCCAATCGCTGTTAATCTTGTTGTTGTTGTTGTTGTTGTTAGGGGGCGACGCTCTTTGAAAAAACCCTAAGGCTCCGTCATTACTTGTCCGATCGGAAAGAAACTTGACATAATTATTCTAAGCAATATCCCGAATCGATTGGCGGTGTTCGATTTTTCATTTTTGACTTTAGAAGCAAGATACAAGCAATTTTTGACTGTATTCGTAGCAAATAATATATACATATCATTAATATTCAGCAAATATATCAGCAAACGCCAACGATAAGAAAGACATTGTCTTGTCTATTGTTATGAACACAATCACAAAAGTCTAAAGCTTCTCAAGAATGTGAACGACTAATTATAACGATTAATTATAAGCGTTTCGGTTGACTAAATTTAACACGCTGGTTTAGTTTCTCAAAGCGCAGAGGAGTAATACTCCTATCTGGCTATCATATAGTCATAGAAAATCGCGAACCGTAAAAACAAAGACATGTCATGTAATCTTTTTAAGTACAAGCCAACTTCGAGAATCATTAGTTTCACAAGTGTCTACAGGATCCCCACGCTCCTTGAAAATCCTGGAAAGTTAAGTCCTTGAATTTGTTAAAAAAAAATCCAGGCCTGGAAATTCCTTGGAAACTGATAAGGTCCTTGAAAGTCCTGGATTTTTTTTCAGTTGGCTGGAAATAATTGAAGAATTATTACCAACCCAAGGATTATTGCCCAAATGTTTATTTTCTCCAATTTCAATTAATATTATGTATAACAATTGTTCAAAAGTTGTTTCGATGTCATTTTTTTTCTAATTGCATTCCTCTCCTTAAGTTTAAGGATAAAAGTTAGATGATTTTCAAAGATTTTTCCAGTTGCCAGGTCCTTGAATATACTGAAAAAGGTCCTTGAAAATCCTGGAAAAGTCCTTAAATTTCGTCTTCACTAAAAGGTGGGGACCTGTGTCTAGTTATTTGTTGATCAAGTTAAAATCTCGAAGGTTTTGAACATTTACAGTAACGATTTGCACAAGATCGAAACTGGGTCACGCAGTTTCTGGTCCACTATAGTACGATCGTACTTGTTTAAATAGATCGTCCAGATTTTTTAACAATTTCTTCCACCAAATCCAGTGAAATACGAGTGTTTATAATTGAAGCTTCAATATTAAATCACCTGCAAGAGCATCACCGACCTTGTTGTTTTGTTTGTTTGTTTGTTTGTTTGTTTGTTTGTTTGTTTGTTTGTTTGTTTGTTTGTTTGTTTGTTTGTTTGTTTGTTTGTTTGTTTGTTTTGTTTTGTTTTGTTTTGTTTTGTTTTGTTTTGTTTTGTTTGTTTGTTTGTTTGTTTGTTTGTTTGTTTGTTTGTTTGTTTGTTTGTTTGTTTGTTTGTTGTTTTAACTTACCTGTAATAATTTACCTGAAAATCAGCTTAAATTACCTGAAATTACTCGTGAACAAACTATTGGGGAGGCGAGGGGGTGTTACATCTCCTCCAACTGCCCGGTCGTTACGGCCCTGATGACCATAAAGTCCATAGAAGTAAGACACTTTGAGGTAGTGAGGTTACATGTTGCAAGACTTCCTGATGGTTAAGGAGAGAGGAAAGCCATGGTAACGGACTTTCAACACAAAAGTACTGTAGCACATTGTAATGTGCTAGAGAGCATTGTCAGTGTTTCGCAAAAATTTCATCTTCATGTCATATAAAATGAAGAAACCGGAGTCTCCAGAATGCTATAGTGCAGTGACGTTTAAATGCAAAAACCCTAGGGAGCCACTTTAAAGTGAGTAAAACAATATAATGGAGTATATTAGATTATATTTCGCACGCTCTGCGAACGGTTTTCGATTCCTGCACTGTGTATTTGACATTTGTCTGTTTCGTTTTCACCTTGAATGTGAGGAGGATGCTTCAGATTTGTCACCACTCAGGCACAGGTTTATTCGTTTTCCTCCTGCACTGGTAAAACTCTGACCAGTAATATTTTCTCTGTTCCAGATATCCCAATGTAACCATGGAGTATTTCCTCTTAAGAGAATGCGTCGTGCAGGTGGTGGTTATATACCAATTCTACCAAAACCTGTTCCAGCGGTCTCCACAACTACAACTGTCGGAACTGAGTCAACGGATAATGCAGTCGCTTCAGTTTCCATGCCAACCAATCGCCAGTTACCAGTACTGGGCAACTCTGGAATTGAGTCGAGGGTGTTGGTGCTTCCTCCAGGTTCTATGACAGGACGAGATCCAACATCATTTCCTAATGTGTTTTCTGCGGCTGAATCAAGACAACCAGCGCAAAGTACTCTTAATATGATACCACAAAGTCAACTACAGTCGTCAGCTATTGCTGGGACTGAATTACTACCACCAGCTCTCAGTTCTGTTGATATGGTTACACAAACCCAGTTACCATTGTCAACTATTGTTTCCCACATAGCATCGACACCACCAGTTGACAGTTCTGCTAATGTGGTACCACAAAATCACTTACCATCAACTATTTATGGGACTGAATCAAGGCCACTAACTTTCAATGCAAATGCAATGGCAACACCAGGTCATTCTCTATCATCCAGTGGTCCTTGGACGGTACCAACAGCGACTATAGTACCATCCGTTACCATTGGAACATTGTTTCCACCTTCGTCAACTACTATTTACAACACAAGTACTATAACAACACCAGGTCCGTCTATATCGTCTAATGCTCTTTGGACGGTACCGACAACAACTATGACACCATCAGTTACCATAGCAACATTTCCTGCGACACCATCTCTGTCAACTTCTGTTTTCAGTACAGATGCAATGACAACACTGGTTCCGTCTCTATTACCTGTAGTACCATCGGTGAGCGCGGCTACTTCAAGTCTGTTACCAATGCCTGTTTCCTCAATGTCACCACTAGATTTTAGTTCTGTCACATTGATACCCCAAAATTCAAATATAGTTCCTGGAATTAATTTTGCCACGAGTTCAGATATACTCCAAACTGATGTCAATAGTGGAGAAGCAAGTTCTACGAGAGGAAATGAAGTTTTGAATAATGATCTGCTACAAAGAGCACTTCTTTTTGGAGACGTTAATTTCCAAGCACTACCCACAGATGTTCGCAATGCGTTAGGCAAGTAAAAGTTTATGGCCATCGGTTAGCAGATTAAAAATAATATTCACAGTACAAGAAAATATTTAACCATGCAGAAAATACATGAACGATACAGAAACCAATGAATAATATTACACTGAAACAATTCAGTCAGACGGATACAAGCAAAATGAATTGTTTAATAAGTTCTTTGTAGCTTTACATGGCGATAAAACATATAATACTTCTGTTTGTAGAATAAATTGGGTGTTTCCGCAAACAAAAGTATTATATGAATTGTTTAGTTTACTTGCATGAATTAAAAGGATTCAAGGGTTTTTTGCCACTTCTTTATAAAGTTTACAAACCGTGGAATTTTTAGTTTAGTTAAGGGACATCTAAGTTTTGTAAGAAAAGTCAACATAATACTGCGTCAAAAGTGTTCTACCAAATCCTTTCTGTGTGTACTTGTGACAACAATTTTCTTTTTCTGTTATTTTTAGAAAGTGCATCTGTGAATTACCTGAACCAGTCATTCCAGCCAGCTTTCTCTGCTTTTCCTTCAAATGAAAGAAGTTTGCAGTCTTCTAGACTGCGTGCCTTGGCAGATACCACAGTAGAACGTGGACCAATTCAAGAAATGCAAACGAATGATACAATAAATTTGACCAGTCCTCTTGTGCAGGTGTGGACCATTTGAACAACAGTCGTCTTTATTTGTTTGTACTTGTTGTATTCACTTCAGAATTTAAGCTAAATTTGCCAATCTTTGATTTACAGGAAAATATGAACATAACAGAACCCACAGGTAAGTTACCAAAAAACCATTTGCGCATATTGGACCTTAAAGCCAGGGCCGAATTAAGGCAGCTTCCTCGCGTGAGGCCCCTTTTTCCGACTGCTGTATAACCTAAAAATTAGTCACAAACTAATTAATTAATTAATTAATTAACTAATTAATTAATTACCTTGTATAAATTAGTCACAAACTGATTTTTAAATATTCTCAATAGATTAACCATTCGAGCATTCTTCAATCGAGATTAATTTTTACTGTTGTAAATAGTTTTTGTGTACGTCTGTATTTGTGTTGTCTTGGTGGGACTTAATTGGGAACTTCTGTTCCGTTGTCCTGACCTTCGATCTTATTGATTGTCAAGTTATTAAAAAAAAAACCTGAAAAAATTAAAACTGGTTTAAGTAAGGTTGAATTACAATCTTAATTCCAACTGAGATGTAACGACCAGTAATGTATTTGATATCATAACATTTATTACTGGTCTTTCACTCTTGCGAACGCAGGCTAGAAGCCTAGGACACTCGAGTTATGTGAAACAACATGACGGCTTCCAAGGGTGAATGTTTAAATATGCCGGATACATCGATTGCATTTTGCCAGAATTCGAAGGAATAAACGTGGAAATTCGAACGTTTTCAAGTCGATTTTTCACTCGAATGATTGCAGTTAATTTTTCAGTCATTTCTCACTCCATCTTTGTACTGTTTTAGAGATAAATAGAATAACAGTTCTTCAAAAGCTTGACGTTTTGTGCCGGCCTGAAGTGCGGGGACCCTTGAGGAGTTGAGGGTGCGGGACTGTGGGCCATATGATTAATGTGGCTCTGCGTGAAAGCCCATTTCCACTTCGGAAAATTTTCCACAGAAAGAAATTTTGTAAAATGTTATTGGCCAACACAAATTCTCCGTCGGAAAAAATTTTGAGGTTGAAAATTTTCAACTTTAAGGTGGCTCGATACAGTTTTCAAACATATAGGTGTTCAACACTGACATGTTCAAACTACGCATTTTTAGGATTTATTCAGCAGATAGTGGGGTTTTTATATATTTTGATAACTCTACTTTCAAATTATATTAGTTTTAGTAACAGATACATAGTTCGTTGCTATGACGACATACGTGTACGAAATTCACTTCAAAATGGCCTTTCGTCTCGTATAGTTGGAAAAGAAGCATGGTGACCCCCAATTTTTTTTCGTGCATTATTTTACTTTGACGAAAAGCTAACATTTAGCAAAATATAAAAAAATTCTGCAATGTCATTTTTTTGGAAAACGCGAAAATGTCATATCCTTCGGTAAATTTTTTCTGGCATTACAGAATTTTTTATTTTTTGTAAAATGAAAGTTTTTAGCAGTGCAATACAGCATGCAAAATTTGAACATAGGTCACCAGACAAAATAAAGAGATATAGCGCATTGTTTTTCTAAAATGGAAAATTCTAATGACGTCAGCAATTGATATAAAACACGCGCAATGGCGTAATATGGCGCGAGCAACTGCTCACGTCAGGTCATTTTGGAAGTTCTTTTCATTTTGTTAATCAGTTTCCGCGACTTGCGTATAAAAATGGTCACCCGGTTTTGAGTTCGCGATTCTTGAGCAGGGTTTTTGTGATAACTATATCGAGCCACCTTAACAATGATATTTTCGGAAAAGTTGCTATCCGTGGAAAATTTTCTTGAGTGGAAATGGGCCTCAATAAAAACATTATCAGTAGTAATATGAGACGGGTACTTTTTTAACATCTGTTTATGAGGGTGTGTTAATTAGAGGCTGTTGGTGCGAGGAAAGGTTTGGGGTGCTTGAACACACTGTAATTTTCAAGACTAATCAACTCCAGAAGTGCTATTCTATCACCGTTTTAGATAACAGAATAACACTTTTGGAGTTGGTTTGTTCATGAAATTTACACCTAAGAGGCTAAGACCTAGTGTTACGCTTATGGAATCAACCTCGTTCCCAGGCTCTTACCTCTTGTGGAGGAAAGACCCTGGTAGGAGCTGGTCACGTGATCTACTAAAATCTAGCAGATTTTTAATTGGTGATGATGTTGATAAATATTTGATATTTTTAATTCAATTTATAACTTGCATTTTATTTTGCAAGTTTGATTTGATTTGATTTTAAAGGAATCCAAGATAGTTAATTGAAAATCTGCTAGATTTTAGCAGATCACGTGACCAGCTCCTACCAGGGTCTTTCCTCCACAAAAGGTAAGAACCTGAGAACGAGGTTGCTATAGAGTGAGCCTTGAAAATCAACTAAACTACTTGTTTCAATATTTTGAGTTAGGTTAGGCACATGCAAAGTTCAACGTTGATTTCAGACCTCTTGGATTTAATTAACCCTAGTTTTATTTACCCAGTACCAATTAGCCTTTCTCACGATGACGAATATCCGCCATTTTTGGGTGGCATCTAATTCTCGTTAACCAATGCAGACAATTAAAACAGTGTGAAAAGCAATTTTTCAAAATATACTAACCATATACAAAGCAAATTTACCATCATTCGTCAAAAAAAATATAAAAAGTCGCTGTTATGCGGACTTATCTCGCGGACGTCGGCTGAAATGCCACCCAAAAATGGCGGCGTGAGAAGGGCTAATTCGAATGGCTGCATGTATCGTTCTATTTATTGGAGAAATTATAAACCTAAATTACCACACGCTAGAAAGCTATATTCATGTTTCTCCAATGTGTAAAGTCAATGAGGAAATTAGAAATATCTTTGTATATTTTCAATAACCATTACCTCTTAATAAAACTGAATGAATCCGCTGTCAACATTCATCCAGTAAAAATTATTATGAAGTTGGATATTTAAAGGAGAGCACTAGTACTCGTTAAAATTGCATACACAGGCTGATGGCTAATAATTAGGCAAACGTAATTTCTTAATATTCAATTTTTTCATTACAAATATATTTCTATAGTAAACAATGACGCGTTTCTTGAAAATGTTAAGTCAACGGGGAAATTAGAAATATCTTTGGCTGTTATCAAAAACGATGATCTCTTGAAGAAGCTTAATGGTTGCACGATCAACATCCACACTGTAGAGATTCAATCAACGTGTAAGTTGCACGAAGTTCTGAAAAATTATTTCCTACCGCCATGTCTAAATGTTCTAAGTATTAATGACAATATCTTAAATTACCAAGATATTTTTGCTTTAATTACATCTCTTAATCGCGTAGTTAGTTTACTTGAATTAAATTTAACTGGTACAAAGTTTAAAGAAAGTAGTTTCAATTGTTTTATAAGTGTACTTATTAATTGTAGTGATCTAAGAAGTTTGTGTTTAACTGACAATGGCTTAACTAAACAAGAACTTAACTGCTTAATAACCGCCTTTGAATCCATGAAAAATCTTAAAATATTAAATTTATCTAAAAACAACCTTACAGACACTCTGGCGGCTAATGACATACATGGAGGAGGTAAGAGCATTGTTTGTTTACCTCCAACATTGGAGGAGGTAATTTTGAGTGATATTATCCATGGCGAAGAACTCTTTGCCAATATGGTACCGCTGAAACTTAGGCTAACAAAGCTTCATCTTAGTAAAATGAAATTAAGTCCACCTGATGTTGAGGTGCTAGTGACTATGTTGAAGTTGTTGCCTTTTCCGTTGTTGTTCCAAGAGCTAGTTTTGACTGATTTTGTTCTTGTGGACATGGGATACGAAGAACTCTGTCGTGCGATAAACTTGTTCAAAAATCTGAAAAAGCTTGATCTTGGGGGTATGAAAATACGTGACAAAAAAACCTTCGTTGACATGCTGTCGTCTCTTTCACTTTTGGAGCAATTAGTCTTTCCTGACATTTTAATGCATGTTGATGGTAGCCCAGAGGTTTTTAAGGCCTTAAGATCATTAAAATATCTTAAACACCTTGACATAGGCAGGACTGGAATTTATAAAACTGAGGCAAATGCTTTAGCCGAGGTATTGCCATCACTGCGGTTGTTGGAAAAGCTAGTGTCGGGAGGGATTGAAGACGAGTCCTTGGGAATTCAAAAACCATTGTTCGTTGCGGTAGGGAAATTAAAAAAATTAAAGGAACTTCGGTTGCAGCACCTGGGTCGTATAATTACCGAAACTTGTGCCATTGCTTTAGCCAAGGTTTTGCCATCACTACAGTTGTTGGAAAAGCTAGAGCTGGGACAGGTCAACTTTGATAATGAAACTGAAAAACAACTGTTCGCTGCAGTAGGGAAACTGAAATATTTAAAGGAATTTACTCTACATTGTTCTGTCATCACCCAAACTGGCGTAGAGGTTTTAGCTGAGGAACTACCAGCACTGACGTTGCTGGAAAAGGTAAAGTTGTTTCTTGTTGATTTTAATAATGGAAGTGAAAAACTACTGTGTATAGCTTTAACGTCATTAAAATATTTAAAGGAGCTTAATTTAGCTAAGACTAAGATTAACCAAACTGGCGCCGTCGCGTTAACTAAAGTGTTACCTACACTGAAGTTGTTGGGAAAGTTAGTGTTGGGAAAGATTGACTTTGATAATGGAAGTGAAAAACAATTGTTTGACGCCGTAGGAAAATTGAAATGTTTAAAGAGATTTTACTTAGGCACTGAGATTACCCAAACTGGCACTATAACTTTAGCTGAGGTGCTACCATCACTACAGTTGTTGGAAAAGCTGGTGGTGACTAAGATTGACTTTGGTAATGGTAACGACAAGCAATTTTTTCATTCTGTAGGAAAATTAAAATATTTAAAGAAAGTTAACTTACAATTCACTGGCATTACCCAAACTGGAATAAAAGCTTTGACAGAGGTGTTAGGATCACTGCAGTTGCTGGAAAAGCTTTTGTTAGGACACATTGACTTTGATAATGATAATGATAATGATAATGACAATGATAACGAAAGTCAATTTTTTCATGTTGTAGGAAATTTGAGATATTTAAAGGAACTTGCTTTAGGGTCGACTTATATTACCCAGGCTGGCATCGTAGTTTTAGCTGAGATATTACCATCGCTGCAGTTGTTAGAAAAGTTGGTGTTGGGAATTATTGATTTTGATAATGGAAGTGAAGAAAATCTGTTTTATGCCATAATGAAATTGAGATCTTTAAAGAAACTTGACTTAACTTCAACTGAACTTACCCAAACTGGCACTGGAGCTTTAGCTGAGGTGTTGCCATCACTGCGGATGTTGGAGACGCTAGCGTTGGGAAAGATTGATTTTGATAATACTATTGAAAAACAATTGTTTACTGCGGTAACAAAATCGAAATATTTAAAGAAACTTAACCTACGCTACACTAAGATTACCCAAACTGGCGCTGTAACTTTGGCTAAGTTGTTACCATCACTGCAGTTGTTAGAAACACTATGGTTGGGAGAAATTGACTTAAACAATGAAAGTGAAAAGGAACTATTTGCTGCTGTAGGATCTTTGAATTGGTTGAATGACCTTGGTTTTTTGCGTACCAAAATTACCGACGAAAGCGCAGCAACTTTAATTGGTGTTTTGCCAATTTTGCGTAACTTAAGATGGGTTACATTATTTCGATTACCAAGTGATGCAGAAAGTGACGAACAAGAAACACTTGTAAGTCAAATTAAAGTGGCGGCACGCCTTGTTCCCGGATTGGATATACTATAACCAACATTTCCACCTAGACTCATGTACGGTAAATCTCCATAAATGCATATTTTACAACTGGAAACTACATGCATGCAGAAACCTTCGCCTTAATGACAAAACCATTATGTTTTCCGCACATGAAGTATTGAAAGTAGTTGTCATGGTAACATGATGATTTTATTAAGAATAGTTCTAAGATTGAAAAATCCCCAGAAAATATCACTTTTAATTATAAAATTATCACTTTCCCAAACAATTTAATATAATAAATTTTTAATATAATAAAAAAGGGTAATTAATAAAAATACGTTTAATAATATGCTGTCTTTTGTTATTTATATACGCAACGATCGTATCAGTTTTTAAAGCAATTATAAAGCAAACAATACTTCAATATTGAAACAAACTTACCTTCATTAACATCGGCCTCTTTGCTCCTTCTTTTAGAAGTTTTTGGGCTTTTTTTCAGAAAGGTTTTGATATATACAAAATCTTGCAAAAAATACAATATATTCGCAAGAGATGGTTGTGATTTCGCTGACGTCATGCAGTCGTTATAATGCAAATTTCAAATTTGACCAATCAGTGTTCGGTATTCACGGCAGTCCGCTACATATTTCTAGATCAGTGAGGATGACCACCCATGAACGGTGAACCATAGCCATGCGCCCGCGATTATTGATGAACTTTAGACTTCGCTATAGTACTTCCTTTCCCCGGGTGTAAATAGCCGGGCGGAATTAGTACCCTCGCCCCGGGCTTACACCCGGAACGGCGCTCCGCGCCGTTGGCTCGCGGATCGGAAATTAAAATATATGCTGCAGAAATACTGCATTTTCTTTCTACAGGAAAGGTTATATTTTAATACTTAATTCAATTGGAGGCAACGACGAAAGCGAAGAGTTTAAAGAGGATTCATTACGATTCTCACTATTTTGATTAGTCGAGATGCTATTGCATTGCTTCTGCACTGAAATACAATGAAATATTATATGTGACAGTTCACTAAATTATATTGTGTTCAGTTCATTTACACTACCTTATTGCCGTTACCGCTAGGGTTGGGGTTGATTTTATTAAGGAAAATTATATGTGCTGCTATATTCTTATGAAAATTATATGTAATGCTATATTCGGCCTTCTCTGCCAATTATTCCAATATTTAATTATTTGGCGAAGGCGAGGTGATTGTCGGGGAATATTCGCCGAGACGAAGTCGAGGTGAATATTCTCCAACAATCACCGAGCCTGAGGCGAATAATTGTTTTCGTATTTTTACACAAGTCTTTTGTGTTTTTTGGGACTGAATTTACTTTAATTTCGTTTATTTCTTTATCAGTAACTTCCACAAAACGGCTTGGCCGCCATTTTGAAAATTTCGGTTTTGTTATATTCACCTGTAGGTGAATATAACAGCTTACTGTCGTTCCAATTGAAGTGTTCCTCAAATATTGATTCAATACATTACCTCAGGTACCCTGGATTCCAGAGCCTTCGACAGTAAATAATAAATTGATATGCCGCGAAGGCTCTGGTTCAACGGGGCGATTCTTTGATTAAACCGCGCCAATCACAAAACAGAATTAGTGGTTTTAGTACAGATTCTGTACTAAAACCACTAATTCTGTTTTTTGATTGGCGCGGTTTAATCAAAGAATCGCCCCGTTGAACCAGAGCCTTCGCGACATTTCAATTTATTATTTACTGTTGAAGGCTCTGGAATCCAGGGTATACCTCAGGCTGACCAATTCATTTCATCAAGTTCCTCGAGATATTCATACACTTCCTATGAAAGAGCCAATTCCAAGTATTTGATCATTTCTGGTCACTTCCTTTCTATTTATGATTGGTTAGTTGCACAAACAACAAAGGTGATTGGTGCATTCAAACTATTCAACAGGAAGTTTACAATTATACTAGGAAGTGTATGAATATTTCGTGGAACTTGATCAAATGAATTGGTCAGCCCGAGGTAATGTATTGAATCAATATTTGAGGAACACTTCAATTGGAACGACAGTAATACGTCAAATTTGACAAATCAACTTGTAGGATTTGTTATGTTCACTTGTGCAAAAATACTAAACGTTTATAAGCAAGGTCTCCTTTTCCATTTCGCCAGTTGTCGAGAAGTGTTGTGAAGATGGCATATTTCGAGACTTTGATGGGTAGACTATATTCTCTTTTCTGACATTTCTTGGCCTATTCGTGCTGTCTTTAAAGTGAGGGTATGTTAGCATTTAAGTATAGCTTGGTGCGTTTGAGTGAGAAGTGCTTGCATAACAAATGCATCTTGCTTGATGGCTATACTTGGTAGTATGACTTCGCCTGAGAGTGGTCAAGTTGATGGTTCTTTTATAACATCAGTACATATTTTAGTTAGCTTTTGGGCCCACTGTTATATGTCTGACTTCATTACGCTTTACTTTTGTTAGGCCACGAAAAGGTCATAGCCTTGTCGAGAAACGCTTACCACAGCTGCGATGAAGGCGTATATTTTTTAACAGCCATCTATGCATCATGAATTTCATCCTAATTGAATTGGAGATAGATAAATAGAAGTAAATATCGATAGCCATGTTGATGTTTCTTTCTCACAAAAAGTAAATCCATCTTTCTTTGCTTTGTCGGTGATATAGACTGTGTTTAGCAGGCAATGGTTTTTTGGATAATCTGGCGGCATTGGATATGAAAACATTCAATGTTAACATAAACATAAACATGCATGCGTTTTGATAAAAATTAATACGGCGACACATTTTATGTTACAGGAAAAAATACACAAAGTACTGTTTAGGGAAACTAGCACAAACTATTATAATGAGCAAAATATTTTTCTGTGCAGTCATGAACATATTATTATACCAGTCACATGTTCACAATTCTTAATAGTAGGAAATAAATAATTATCATTATATAATAATAATAATCAAGCCATAATATCGTAAATAATAATCATAATCATCGGACCATTACAATAATAATCAGAATGATGATCGTAGTAACAATTATCTAATGATAACAAATAGTGATAATGGTGCAAACTTTATCAAATGATTTTTTTAGATATTGAACAATTGTAAATCTACAGTAATTGAAGTATAATCTATAATAACGGCCTGTTTGAATCAATATTCGCGCACATAATATAACTGCAATAACATGTTACAAATACACGGCACAAAATAACAATAATCATTATAATTAAAACAAAATAATTAAACTACAGTAAATGTGAAATATTCCTTAAATGAGTATTAAGAAAGTAGCAATTGTAAGACAAGAGCGAATGATCTGTTTTAGCCGATTAGCATTGAAAGACAAAAAGGCATAGAGCACACATTTACAATTACGAAATGAAAGATATATATTAGAGGCCAATTACTTGAAAACTTTTCAACCCAGGCTCAATTTCAATAGAAAGTTGATTCCTCTTTTTAAATCATTTAAAATATTATTTCGAATATTTGACTTCGTGTACGAGATTATGGTTGCACTAGTCGCAAAAATAAAGCCATATAAATATTTTATATCGATTGCTTTTTAAACCCGGGCTGAAATTCCTTGTCGATTGCACATGACGATTTTCAAGCCGGTCAACGGAGATGAAATTTTCATCCCGGGTAGTTCAAACCCCGAAGGATCATGAAGTTTCAACACGGGCTGAAATTTATATCACGGCTGAAATTTTGTCTGGTGCTCTGTTCTACAAGGATTTTGTGCGAAGCCCGGACTGGGTTGAAATTTTAGCTTGAGTTGAAAATGTCCATGTAATCTGTTCCTAAATCAAGCATAAAATGATATGCTACAAACATCCAATAATAAGAAGTTTATATAAATGTAGTAATGGATAGTAGCCGTATATCACAGGGAAAAAATTTCAAATAATGAGATTTGAAGAGTTTTTAAAGTTTACCATGTAGAAACTATGGAAAAACTGAACTTTTATACCATTCATGGAAAAACTGAATTTTTATACCATTCATGGAAAAACTGAATTTTTACCATTCATGGAAAAACTGAATTTTTATATCATTCATGCATGGAAAAACTAAACTCCCATACATTATTGGTAAAGACCATGCTGTTTAATTGTTCAGCTTTAATGGTATTTTATTTTTTTCCTGTGTATATGTGATTTCCATCGCTATTTCAAGATAGAGCACTATATAGGGAGTTGGCCACTGAGCTCAAAACTATGACTGGATAACGGTCTGTTATGTAGAACTGAAACAATGACGGCCATATTAGTGGGACCATCACAAAACTACTGTTTTGGTGTTGACGTGTTGGAAAAAGTTCTCAGCGCTTTTGGTTTTAAGTGGGAAAGGATACGTACATTGTCTACATAGAAATTGATCCTCAGTGGCCTCTCTTTCTGCTGTTTAATTTGCGAGTGAATAACTAATGAGGTCACATCAATATTGCCGCTTCAACACTCATTATTAATGTTTAAAACGTTCTAAAACTCATTAGAATGGAAATGCATGGAAAGCCATATCTTTCAACTTTCATATAGAAAAGAACATTTCCTTGTTATGAAAACTAGTTTAAACACGTTACAATTCGATTTGTAAAAGATTTTTATTACCATTTTTTAAAATCTCTTCTCATTATAAAAATTCTTGCTTCAAAATCATTGATGTGAAAAACACGCTCTATCCATTGGTTATTTGCTGGTTTTAGATCAGTGAGTTTGCCAATGCCATTGAAATGTGCAATTTA